CAACCTGAGGAAGGGACCTGTTGGTTTGGAACACTTGCCAAGGAGCCGAGGGGAAGAAGGATGCTCCCCTCTGTGCGTAAAAGCGCACAGTTTGCGCACCAAAGCAGGACCCTTTTGCTCCTCTCCTGCTGCTTCCTCTCCCTTGCCAGCTGGAAGAAATCTTGCTTGGCATAAGTCCTGGATCCCCAGCCCATGGATCTTGCCCACTGGTGGCCCTAAACCCGCGTGGATTTACCTGGAGCCGGAGCGCAAGGATGGAGAGGCAGGGGCTCCGAGGGCGCAATGGAGGAGGAAAGGCTCCTTCCTTCCTTCCTTCCTTCCTTTCTGGCCAAGTAGCCGGCCCAAGAGAGCCCTCCCTCGGCCGCACCTCCACCTGCCCTCCTTTCCTCCAGAGACTCCTCCTCCTCCTCCTTCTCCTGGGCTGGGTTTCTTTGCCTGGGTGCCCCATGCCCAGGGAAAGAGTTGGCACCCTCTTTCCAAACCCCTGCTGCCCCAAGTCCTGGGTGCCCCTTGGCCAGGGTTTCCAAAGAGCAAAAAGAGGTCCAAATCCAGGTCCAGTTTCAGTCTTGACCACCATATAACATCAAATGACACAAATGATCAAAACCTTTGAAAACGTTTACAGCAGGGGTAGGCAACCTAAGGCCCGGGGGCCGGATGCGCCCCCCCCTGAGGCCTTTGGACCGGCCCCAGGCCAGTCCTGCCGCCGCCGCTGCCGCCTGCCATGATGATATTGATTATTGTTGTTATTACTTGTTCTTGGGGTTTTCTTGGCAAAATCTCCACAGGGGGGTTTGCCATGGCTTTTCTGGGGCTGAGAGAGTGTGCGTGCATTATTTATTTTATTTTTAAAAAATTGTATTTATTTATTTATTTGTTTTTGGTGCTTCGGCCCCCCCAATTGTCTGAGGGACAGCAACCCGGCCCCCGGCTCAAAAAGGTTGCCTACCCCTGGTTTACAGTCACATGCAGGGGAAGCTGTGTGGGCCAGGTAGCAAATGCAAACCCAAATCCACCAGACAGTGAGACCTTTATGAGCCAACCAAAATGCACACTATACTTGTTGCGAGTATAGTCACAGTTGGCTCTGTAACATCTAAAGGGAAATGTTTACGCTAACGTTACAAAAATGACCTGTCAAAATCCATGATACAGCCAGCTCTCTGTATCCACTGATTGTTTTTAGTCTGCGGTATTCCAGAATCCACGGTTTGAAAATATTTTGAAAACAGAGGCATTCCAAATAGATACGTTCCAAAAAGCAAACCTTGATGTTGCCCTTTTTATACACCATCACCAGGGGACTGAATGGGACTTAGGTCTCCATGGATTCCAGCAGCCACCATTTGAAAATATTTTTAAAAATACAGTAGATAAATTCCCAAAACAACAAGCCTTGATTTTGCCATTACTAGGACCATGGATTTTGTTATCTAGAGGGGGTCTTGGAACCAAACCTCAGCAGATACCAAGGGACCACTGTACAGGTTGAGTCTTCCTTTTCCAAAATGCTTGAGCCTAGAAGTATTTTGGATTTTGTCATTATTATTATTATTATTATTTGGATCATCCTCTACATGACATTCCTTCATGTATTTAAAGATAGCTATCATGTCACCTTACTCTCCACACTGCAGAAATAATCCAGGTTGACACTTTAACTGTCATGGCTCAATGCTATGGATTGTGGGCATTATAGTTTTGGGAGACATTTAGCCTTCTCCATCAGAGAGCTCTGGTGCCACAGCAAACTCCAGTTCCTAGAATTCCATAGCACTCTAGGGCAATGGCAGTTAAAGTGGTGTCAACCTGGATTATTTCTCCTGTAGAGATGCAGAGTCTTTCCTTATAAAGCTTGGTTTCTAGACCTTTGATCATTTTGGTTGCCTATTTCTGGACACATGAGTCCCCCGTCTCCTTTCTGCTTGACTGTTTGATGAGTTCAGTGTTTCTTCTCTGCCTTTGAGGTTCATTATAATTCTTCCCATCCAAAGACCCAAGCAGGTGATAGATTGTTTTGCAGCAACTGTCAGATCGATGTACCTGTTTTATGTCTCACGCCCGTCTCCTGTAAATTATGAGGCAGCCAGGAGCCGTGATGGGCACTTAGGTACCCAATAATTTCTCCCTGGCAATCACTTGTCCAATTTGTAACTTACGAAGGTGCTATAAAACACCACTTTAATTGACTGCATCTGGATGCAGCAGCTGGCTAAAAGGAGCTGCCAAATTTTTAGTTCCTCTGCCATCTTAGGAGGAGGCAAAGGAGGCAGATCTGACACCATAAAGGATGACTGATAGGTTTTCCAAGCAAATGATAAACTTTAATCTTCACTAGAGGAAACTAATCCAGAAACTGCCGGCAAAGATGGAAACCCAACTGGGTTCAATCCAAGTCACAGACAGGTAAGGCGGAGCATGGCGTAGTGGTTTGAGTGTTGGACCACAGCTCCAGGAGACCAAGGTTCGAATCCCTGTTCAGTGACGGAAACCCATTGGTGTCTTTGAGTAAGTCACATTCATTTTTATTTATTTATTTTTGTCTTGTATGATTTCTTGACACCTTTATCTGATAAAGAAGCCAGTCGAGCTTTGAAAACTTGCATTGTGTATTTTGTGCATTTTGGTTGGTCCCATAAAGGTATCACTGTTTTGTGGATTTTGGGTCTTGTTGTACTCATTCATTAGAACAAGGCCATGGTAAGCCTCCGCTGAAATAATCTTGTCAAGAAAACCCAGGGACAGGGTTGCTATAAATTGGAATCCAAGGCCATGTGGTGCAGTGGTTTGAGTATTGGATTAGGATTCTGCAACAACAGATTTTGAACCCCCACCAAGCTATGGAGAGGACTTTGGGCAAGTCACACTCTCTCTCAGACTCAAAGAAGTGCAAGGCTCCTTAGAATAAACCTTGCCAAGAAAAAATAACATTTTTGGAGCCAATATGGTGTTGCGGATTGAATATTGGACTCTGGGTTCAAATCACTATTTAGCCCTGGACACCCAGAATGAACTTGATCAAGTTACCATCGCTTAGCCTTAAAAGGCAGCAATGGTATTTTAAACTACCTCGCAGGGTTGTTGTGAAGGTAATAAAAGAAGGGGGGAATCCTTTAAGTTCCTGGGAGGAAAGGTAGGTTATAAGTGGCAGAAAATAACAAATAAACAAACAGGGAGACAACTGCCTCCTGTGAAATTTTAAGGAAATAAAATGTTGGCCTGTTATTAGAAATTTTAAATTAACATATTTTTTTCATTTTAGGGCTAACCAGAGAGATGGAACCATTAATAGAATTTGATATATTTCCACCTGTGCTGGGAAATAACAAGAGTGGGGAAACCACAAAATGCACAAAATAATAGTAATATATGGAACAATGATATATTGCAGGGACTGGGATATTAAATACTGCATCAATACAGTGCACCCCTTGATGGATTTTAACATTCATTTTTAAGCTGGCGAGATGAAAATATAACCGGGATAAATATGTTATTGATTTTTGTAGAACAGTGTTAATATTAAAAAAAATAAACTTTGAAGTGAGGTAGGATGGGTTTATAACAGCTTTATGCGTAGTGTTCCAACTTTGGAGAAGATGCCCAGGAAATGTAAAGGAGCTGATCCAACAGAGAAACAGATGGGAACAAACAGCTATCAATGAATTTGGGAGGTGTAGCTGTTATCATGTGCCTTTGAGTTTGATACTCTTCAGGATTTCTTAACAAGTTTTATTGAGAGGGATTTACCATTTTCTTTTACTTAGGGAAAAGCTGCATCTGCACTGCAGAAATAATGCAGTTTGACACGGCTTTAACTGGCATGGCTCCATGTTACGGAATTCTGGGATGTGTAGTTTGATGGGATATCAGAACTCAATGACATACAAGGCTTTCTAGTGCTTCTTCTATACAACTAAATATTTTGTTGTGTGACTTCAACGTGTTTCTGATCTTTGGCGAACTTAAGGCAAACCTATCATGGGGTTTTCTTGGCAAGATTTGTTCAGAGGAGATTTGCCATTCCCTTCCCCTGAGGCTGAGAGAGTGTGACTTGTCCAAGGTCACTCAGTGGGTTTCATGGCCAAGTGGGGAATCGGACCCTGGTCTCCAGAGTCATAGTCCAACACTCAAACCACTACACCACACTGCCTCTCTGAGTATACTAACTACATATATGTAAAGCTGTGTAACATGGACCACGATACAGGATTCTGGTCACTGTCTTCTGGAGTATAAGGATGCATTTACACTGTTGAAATTATGGAGTTCAACACCACTTTAACTGCCATGGCTCCATCTTACAGAATCAGGGATTTGTAGTTATGTGAGGCAGCAGCACACTCTGGCAGAGAAGGCTTGAAGGCATGGTAAAACTACAAATCCCAAGAATCCATAGGCTGGAACAGCAGTCTACCCATGGGTTTGAAATAACATTGTAATAGCCATAGCACTGTAATCTTGATTCTCGGCTGAGGTCATTTCAACTGGTTCGGGATCCTGTACAAGGAGAAAGGCAAGATGCAAACGAATGACATAAACATTAAATAAATATCCAGCTTCCACGTTTTAATCAGAAATAAAGACAACCCTCGAGATTCGGAATGGAGATTTTTGGCAAAGTTGTTTATTGCATTACAGGATACATAGCCAGTCTGCCAATCGTGGATTTACACTAGGAAACGAAAAGCTGCAATATCCAAATCTCAATTTTTTTTTTTTAAAAAAAAATATCCATCATCATAATAATAATAGTAATACAAGGGGAGGGGGGGGGGAATGAAAAATCTGCCTACATGGCAAATAGAAGTCCAAGAGCTGGGGCTGGCTGGAAAGGCCAATGCCTACCCCAGACACGTCTAATCCAGAAGGGATCAAGTCTTCAGTGGAGGAATTAAGCGTCTCACCACACCCGGCATCGACGGATCATCTCCTGGAGCATTCGGACCCCCTCCATGCTTTTATCCTTCAAAGCCATGGCTAGGAGAACAGGCTTATTCCCGGCTTCTTGAGACACCGAGGTCACAAGATGTTTGGCACAAATGTGGACAAGAGGCTGAAAGCAAGCAGAGGTTACTTTAGGGAGAGGTATCCCTCCAACAAAACAAGTCCCTACAGGGCTAAAATTTCTGGAAATTTTGAAACCACAATGGGGGCAATCTTCCCCACAATTTCCCCCCCACACATTCTGGGTTTACTGTTTGCAATATAAAATTGCATCTATTACATCTCTGCAAATTCGGTCGCATTTTGAATGCATCCGATCAAGCTGCCAAAAAACCCACTTAACCCAGAGTAATCAATATTGGGATTTTTCCCTGTGTTTTTCTAAAAGATTCAGATTCTTGGTTGTGT